GAGTGTCTGATTGGGCCGAGCGGAAAAGGGCGGTTGTAGCAAAGGTACATTTCGAAAGGTCAGCGGGGATCTCTCAGATCCGGATGTCGTCCAAATCGGCGACAGGCGGAGCTATGGCCACCAGGGTTGGGGTCGGTGGAAGACGGCGTGATTGAACACAAAGGCCGGCCGCGGTGGAAAAGAGAAGCTCTGCATCGAGCCGAGTCAGCCATGGGCAAATTGGTAACCACCTCGCCTAAGGTGGCAATTAGGGTGTCGCCTGATGGCGATTCGGGGTCGTTGACGACAAGGCAGAGCGAGAAGGATTCGATATTCTCATGCCGGCAGGCCGGCAGGCTGGGACCCACGCATGGAGAACCAGGGTCACCGAGCATTGGTGTTGTCCAATGCAGGCTGTTGGCGGTGGTGGTGGTGGTGGTGGTTGTAACCGATTTGACGAGTTTGTACTACATGAACCTGATTGGGTTGGATTAGATCATCAGCGGGCTGCAGCAATAAGATGGGGTGAAGCAGGTCAAGGCCGGGCAGGGTGGGAGGGCAGTGTAAGGTACCTCGAAGCATGGTGTATATCCGCAAGGTATCCGTGTGGGCGAGACACAGGCGAGGTGTAAGACGACCCCAATCGCCAAGCCTTGATTGGAGCTTCCTCAAGGAGATATTCTCATCGTAGCATCTCGGATGCGAAGGCGGTCATTACGTTAGTGTCGGTAGGGTAGGTTGGATCTCGGTCTTGCGGCAGTCGCCCCTCCGCAATGACAGACAGAGTCTTCATTTCTTCTTCGCGGCGTAGGCGATGTCGGTGTTGGCTGACGCTTGCCATCATGTATGCCAGTGCTGATGGTGAGAGTGTCTGCGTCGCGAACATTACATGCTGCACGTGCGAGGATGTTTTCAAGGCGTCGATGCGGTTGGCAGAACAACTCATCCATTGTGACCTGTCGCCTGCTTGGGATCCTTGGATGCCGAAGAATAAGGCGTGGGAGCATTGGCAGAAGCGAGGCCAGGGTCGAATAAACCTTCTGATACGAGCTTATTGCGACGGCAATTGGTTGACGACAGAAACAAGCGGCCTCATCTGACGCAGCAGCCTGGAGCCGTTGCAGTTGATGTTGGCTGCTGTTTGATGGTTCAGGTGTTGTTGGTGTTGAAAGGGAGCGACAGCAAGAAATGACAAAGGAAGACGGACAGCAAGGATATCCCAGAATGGAAAGCGCCTTCCTCACTACCTGGACTGGAGACAGGTTGCGTGTGTGACCTCAGGCCATCCTGGCATTGCATTCCTGCGATTGGAGCGCGCACGTAGAGCAGGTAGGCAGGCAGGTACTTTCCTCCATTTGACTGGAAAATATGTCAAGCGCTATGCTGTCTACGGCCAGCCTCAAAAGCCAGGAATTGAGTCTTTCATCCCTGTGAAAGGTACCGTGCTTCGAGAAGGCGAGCAGGGTTCCGGAAGTACCTATCTTACCTACTTTATCAGGTAGATACGATAGGTAAAGGTGATGGCTTGCCAGACTTCGAATTGTTCATGATGGAAAATACCTTGTTGCATGTGCTCGGTTGACGATACATAATGAGCAGACACGCGTGGACGTACTCGCACTTGCACTTACAACCAGCGGAAGGTCCCACCCCAACAGGCAATGCCTAAGGTACTTGACTCCCCGTTGGCACTTACCTGCCTTGGGTAAGGCAAGGTATTCGTACATCTACCTCAGACGAGTACCTGTTATATGGGAAAAGTGGAGTCTGATCTCGCTCTTCCAGGAACAAGGACAGAGGTGAATACTGTGACTTCACATTGCGACGGGACTTCACTTCATGGATGACTGACGCGAGGTCCGGTATCACGACTGTCAATGACACCTCCGCGACATCTCGAATTGGTCAGCACGCACTGAGGTCAATTGAATTATTGAATTAGGTAAGGCCTGCTCGCGGCATGTCATCCAGCGCGATGCTGTATGGTCGACCAACGGTGAGATAATGATGGTGTGTCGCACAGAAAGGTGACACAGCAGAAGGCACACGCAACAACACAGCGCGCCCGCGCCGTTTTGACTCTCCACATCAGCGCCATGGAACTTGCTAAGCACCTAAGTCAGTCGGGACCCCAGCCCGCGCCGCAGCGCCGAAAGTTAGCCGGGCTAATTATGTCACCCCAACTCCGTCAAACACCGCATCTGCCCGACCACCTCCGAGACGGACGAGACACCCTGATGGAAGCAACGGGCAGACGAAGACGGCTTGGCAGGAGATGTAAGTCAGCACCAACAGCAGGACGCTAGCTGTGCAAGGCATGCGACGCGCAGTAAAGTCTCTGTAAAGCAGTCAGGCAGTATGAGGTGACACAGCGCCACCAAGCCTATCTGATGCCCTCAGACCCTACCTTCCTCACCTTACCTTAGGGTACGGTACTGCGACAGAAGATGTGGAAGTGGAGGCCCACAGTGAACCGACCGATGTTCCATGCCGCGCCAGAACCTGCGCCAAAATCACCGCACCAGCATGACAACGGGCGACGGGGCTACCGGGTTCACAGGTCACTGCGGGTAGGTGACACAGACCACATGCGGCCGAGTGGAGCCCGATTCCGGGTCCGCCTTCCTCGACATCTCTCATCCACGTCCCTCGACTGTGAATCTTCCTTCCTCTCGGTTGGCTGTGGTGTGGTCTCCGACTCCACGGCCCTCATACCTTACCTACCTTACCTACGCAGTACGCCCACTGCGACATTTTTGCATCCAACATCAGTGTCTCTGCTCAATGTCGGCCTTGAACCCGTCTCTCAAATCGGAATGCCCCCACGACGACAGTATCCACAACGCGCATACTGGCGGTAGAAACTACTGATGTCTGAAGTTCTGGCAACATTCCCGAAGGGATGCGTTCCCTTCATGCTCCAAGACTGCGGGTAGCGGCTGCAACGCACACCACACTACACTCATCTCTACACCAGCCCTCATGTAATCACAAGCACCCCGGGTCATGGCCGTGATAAGGTGAGGTGTTTTATCGGCTGCATTGCTTTGGGTGGCATCCTAGAAGGGGAGCCCTTTAGCCATGCGATGTGCGCCATGCAGATGCACGAGGGGGCCAGGTAAGACCAGATGCGACGGCACGGAAACGAGACCGAGGCCTATGCGGGCTTGATGACTGAACACTGCTGACGAAATGGACAATAGGACCATGTACCTCTGGCCGCTGACGCAGATTTCATCGCGGCATCCATCGCGACAAATGTCGCGGCATCTCGAGAAAACGAATAGCCGACTGACACAACGGTCGCCTCCCTCGAAACACCTCAGATGTCCTTTGCTACGCGAGAGGAGGCGGGATTACGGCTTGCCGGTCGTGTTGTGGTCACCTACTTTGCGTGAGCCGTCGACATGGCGCCAACAAGTCGACATCACGACTCACGATATGGTCACCTGCTGCGCCACCTGCCTCCAAGACCATCCCACTGCAGCCCTTCTCGCAAATCGTTTATCATCCTAGCCTATGACAACCTGTCCCGCCCCGTCCTGTTCAATGGTGCCCTGACAGCCTCCACATCTGTGTACAGTACCCAGCTCATACTTTCCAGCCAAGGTACTTTGAAACGCCGCTGGACTTACATAAGACACAGAGCCTCTCAACGTACCTGCCCCTCGTGGCTAATGCATCAAAGGGGCGTCTGCAGCCTGTGCTGGCTAGCTAGAGGTTCCTGACTCTCGGAAAACATGGCTGCGGTGCGCACCCCGCTGCTACAACAAATAGCTCAGGCCATACAGCCATCTTCAGCTTGTCTGGGGTCCCTCAATCTCGATTGCGCCTGGTGTGCGACTACCACTCGCCGAGTCGCCGCCACTGACATATGAACCTCGCGCATGTTATATACCTCTGTTTCAATTTCGACTGCAACCGCGTGGGATCCTGACCAGCTCTCCCGAGGACCAACGCGCCACTAATCAGTTGGAGGGTCCTTACTCTCGGAAACTAGAGGTGTGGTAGGCGCACACCCTTTTGCCGTCAGCGCAGCATGGCCCCGTATCACCTGGGTCGTCACAGGGGCCGCTCGTGACAGATCCGGAAAAAAGGCGGCTTACAACTTCCAAAAGTCCGGTAGAGGCTCCCAGCCATCACCAAGGCCGAAGGTGGTGGACAAGGCGCCCCGCCGCCTTACATCCCGATTTCGGTACCCAAAAAGGACCAGATCGGCCCGGAGCATCCCACCCGAGTCGCATTGCCCGCGGCAGAACGCTCGGAGGGGGAATCTTTTTCCGTCACTCTTCACTCTCACCGGCATTGTCTCAACCGGCAGGCAAGGCGATGGACGGTCCCGGCTTTAGCCCGTGAGCTCCTTGATTCGCACGAGAAAGAAGTGGCACCGTCTGTCGCCTCGGGGGTTATTTGCGGCAACCCCGTTGCAGCCCCACGATAACCATTTGGGAGCAATAAGAAAGGTATCAAGATCGAAAAGAGGCGCTTGCAGCACCGGATGCATGGCAAACCAATCAAGCCTGGCCTCCAAGAGGCAGCCAGGTCAGAGTAGACAAGAGGCACACCGTAAATATGCATGATTGTACGTGGGAGTACGGCCTGCATCAAAGTGGGTGTCCAATCACGTTCCTCCAAGCCAGCGTTACGGTTCTCCGTCCCCCATACTTGCGTGTTGGGTGCAGAATGAGACATTTGTGGCATCTCGACCGGGCCGTGGAACCCTTTCATCTGCCCCCGAAAAGTCGCCTTACCCAGTCATTTCCATCGGGGAATACTCCGACACCGCAACATGGGCACGCGTGCCTTGCGAGAAGGACGATCCCACCGTACGTGCATCAGGTTTCTTGAGGTATGGGACGGATGAGCTAGCCAGGGCCCATGCGGGCTGAAAGGAGGGAGTTTGTTATCGGAGAATGTGGATGATTACTTGGGCTAAGGAAGAAGTGGGTCACCAGGCAATAATATCAAGTGCTGCAATTAAGTATCATAAAGTCATCTCACTAAAACACCCCAAGCCGTATTTATACCAAAGCCGCAACACTCAATAGCAGCAGGCCAACAGCCAGTGCCCACGTAGCCGGCGGTGAGAGAGATCCAGCAGCGTTGCCCAGTCCAAACGGCAGTCCTTGCGTCTTGAACGTGACGTTCTGGGGGATGGTCTGGTTCCAGCACTGTGCGTTGCTGACGTCCAGATTCGTGAGATCATTGGGCACCTTGAAGAACATGTAATTGTTCTGCGGGATGTCCTTGAATCCCTCCGTGTTGTACGGGAACTTGTCACCGTCATCGGTGGCGCTGGTGTTGCGCAATAAGATGCAAAGCACCTGGTTGGGGTAGTCCTTGAACATGGCCGGGTACGCCTTCATCACGTCCGAGTTTGTGGTGTCACCGACCAGGATGAACTTGCGCTGCGGAAACGTCTGGAAGATTTTGTCGAGCAGGAACCGACGGATCGACAAAGTCGCGCTCACATCGGAGAAGTTCAGCGGACGGGTATCGAAGCTGCCCAAGGGGTAGGTCTTGTAGATGAACTCCATATAGTTCCGCGTCACTTGCTCCGGCGTGGTAGTCAGGTAGTGGAAGTGGAAGTCGGGGATCGACGCTGACCAGTTGGCGTAGATCTCCGGCATGTTTTCCCAGGGAGTGAACGGACGGGCAAAAGAGTTAAGGAGACCTTCCTTGGGCTGGTAGATCTTGGTAATGCGCAAGATGTCGTCAATGTCTGACAAGACCGTGATGCCCTCGGTGGGCACGAGGTACGCCGTCGCGTTACCCGTCAACGTGCCATTGGTGTACATGTTGAGCGTCTGGATGGAGCTCGTCTGGTTGCCCGGAAGCAAATGTCCGCCGCCGCTGCCCGTGGTGTTCTGCAGTTTCACAAACGCGTCAAAGTCGCCTTCCGAGGTCGTCAGGTACGGCAGGTTGACCCTCTGGGCGCCGCCGCGCGCATTGACTGCACCTCCGCTCGCGCCAGGGCGTACCGCCACGTCGTTGACAAAGTCCATGGTGACATTCTGGTCGCCCTGCTGGACGACGAAGATGGACTTGGTGACATTGCGCGCTTGTGCTGCTTGATCCGCGGGCAGCTGATCGACGTCGACGTCGATTAGGAAAATGTTGGCCAGGTCGTCGACCTTGGATTGGCTGATGTTGGGCTGCTTGAATACGTTGCCGTGGATGCGGACGTTCCAGCCCTCGTCGGTCCAATTGCCGTACGCCCTGGGAAGCAGGCAACAGTCAGCATGATATGATGTTTGGGGTTACACAGGAAGAGTCGTGTTTTGGCTTTCGCCCCCCCGGAGGACGCTACGGCATGTGTGTGAGTGCTGCGAGATGTACTTACGGGACATTCAGGACTTGGGTGGGCTGTGCCTTGAGATCACCGTCGCTGATCCCCAGGGAGCTAAGGACCGCGCTGCCGGTCGGGAAGTTTTGGAAGAAGTTGGGGACACCAGAGGCGACGAACGAAGCGACATCACTGCCCAGGCCGCCGAGAACGCTGTGGACATAGCTACCGATGTCATCGGTGAGGTCGGGGCTGCGGCGGACGCGGGTAGGTGGAGGAGTGATCATTGGGTGTGAGGGATCGACGACCGCGTGAGGTGGATCGGCGGGAGCGGCGAGGACTGCCGGCAGAAGCGCCAGAGGCAGGAGAGACGCGCGGAGCAGAGCCATGATGATGATAACTCTGCGTAGGAGACGATTCGATGATGCGAGTTCGATAAGAAGGTGACAAACCAATCGATCCCGAGTGTGACAACACAAAGGGGCAGTAGCGTAAACGGCGAATTACACGATCCGATGCAGCACCGGGCCTGATCAAGCGGAAGGACTCTCAGAGGCCTCGCCGGGAGAAACAAGAAAACTCGTCGCGTGCGTGACGACGGGTGAAGAGAAGACGGGAGGGAGAAGTTTATTGTGTTTGTCTGTTGTCACGCCGTTGCTGACTGTTTCTCACTCTAACCCTCCTGCCTGGAATGAGATGGCGGCGGACAAGGCCTTGTTCTTGGCCCCAAGCCGTTCCTGGCATGGCTGCAGACAGTGACGTCAAAGTGCTGGGGGTAGCCTAGGCCCGAGATCGACTGTCTAGCGGGTTTCAGAAGTCTGCGAATGGGGGAAGCGAATCAAGCTTCTTGTGGTGGGGCCGCTGTCACTCTAGCGAATGAGTGGCTTTCGGACCACTGCGAAGATTAAGATTGTTGGCCGAGTGCGACAAGCTTCAAATTGTTCAATTGATGGGATGTTCCTGGAGCATTGACGAGCTTTTTCTGCAGAAGCATTTGGAAGCCAATGCAAGTTTCAAGGGTTGTCCGTGGACTGCGGCCAAGTTTAAAGTAGGGCACCCTGCGCCATGTTTCTGGGTCCATCTGCTCCCCGTTCTCAGCCCCAAAACACTATCAACCGCACCCAAATGCCCCCTGCTCGCGTATCGTGGTGTTCGGTCCTGTCCGAACGAGTTAGCACCTGTATCAGAAGTGATTGGAAAGAGATGGGTGTGACTTATCCCCAGTCGCAGGGGGTTGCCAATCTCGCCATTGCTGGAGAGATGGCAACCAGGGCTACCTTCCGATGGCCTGCCCTTTGATTCGAATAAGCGCTCCCTGAGCGGTTTGAAAAGGAGCTGCCGTCCATATCTACACGATTCTGGACAAGCACAAAACTTTGACTCCAACACGAGATGGGTCCCAGAATCGAATGGATCTGTCCGACAGCCCCCCTCCTCCTTCTCAGAGTGCAGCGGGGATCGCTTGCATTGCCCTCTGCTCACAAGCCGCAGCCTTCATATACTCAGCTCAGCAGGGATTCGACAAGCTGAATCGCAGTCTGGGCGGGCCCTGAACAATCGGAAAGACTCTCTCTGCTTGTATCGCACGGCCTCCTGGGACAAGTTTTCGTTTCCTCTCCGTCTGTGTGGGTGGACAAAGGAGGGCATTCCGCGCGGACGAAAGACATCCATAAACTACCGCGCTCTCATCCGTTGAGATTCATGACTGAACGAACAACGGGGAAGTGTTGATCTCCCGGGGGAGAACAACGGGGATTTGGCGTCCTCCGATCTCGTGGGACAGAACCCACGACTGGAGGCTGATGCGCCTGGCCAGATCACATGCAGGCATGTCACATCCAGGGCAGTTGCCTGGGTGTGGTTCGGGGGGACGCCGACTGGCTGCGAGATCCGATGCGGGCAGCTATTCTGCTGAGTGAGTCCCAAGCCGTGGTTGGAGGTGTGGGTGCCGAGAGCTGTCAGCATGGCAATTGGTCTTGTCAGATCAAAAAGTTTCCGTGCGTAGCCATGGAATCCTCGCAACACTGGAGTGCGACCGGCAAGGGAAGACCACGACGATGTTGAAGAAACTTCGATGCTGACTGTTTGTGGCCAACGCTGCGCTCTGCCCACCGGTCTCCTCACACAGGTCGATAGCCGCCACTTGGGTCTATCATAAGCCTGGAAAAAGCAGTGTGCTGCCAGCAGGATCCCGCGAGTCATGTCTGCTGTCACCCCCAATCGACCTATTCTTGGCCAGAGTACTGGTTCCAGCGGATGGGTTCTGACGAGCGGCCTCAGACCAGAGGCTCTTACACAACGACTCATAGTAACCCTCCTTTCGCGCACCAGGTGGTGACTGGACTGTGTTCCCTGCCGGTCCGTCCACGTCGGCCTCGCTCAGCTTACACCACTTTTCAGCGGTGAAGCCTTGCTGCAGCCAGGCGGACTTAAAAGGCAGAGTCGACGACTGCAGACGCAATACTTGAACCAAAGGGCAACTTAGGGTTAAGTTCCGAAACCCATTCTCTCGGCGGGACTGCATTTGTCGAGGCCACGATAGATCCAGCCGCGGCAAGCGAGGTCCTGTTACAGGCTCGGAAGCGACGTATCGTGGTCTCACAATCCGTGCCGAGGGTCTGCGATAGACATTCCGTGAGGAAAATGAGAGTCGGAGAACTGAAGGGGAGGCGTCGTGCGAAAAACCACCGCGTCTGGGGCAGACACGGGGCGAGAGAGCCCGTAGATCGATCGGGTAGGGCGCGTCCAGCTGGTCTCCAGGTCGCGATTCGAGTTGAGCCCCGGCGAAGTTGAGTATCCGGCATTGGCTCCTGCAAGTGGTGCGTAGCGAAAGCGTGTTGGTGGAAAAGTTGAACTTGGAGGAAAACTTCGAATAAAACGAAGGGCAACATGAGCTAGAGAAAACAATCAACGCGAAAGGGAAGGAGACGCGTCTGAGACCTGGCAACCACTTCCCGCGTGGGTGAGCGCGCCTGCACGTGATGCGACCCACACAGTGAGAACTGCCGGGCCGTTGCCAACTTCGCACTCATCGTCTCTTCTAGCACCGACGTCAGTGAATTATTACTAAGACGGCATCTTGAAGTCTCTCATATCAAGAATCAGCCGCCATGGAATCAGACACCCCTGAGAAGGACCCAAAATCCAAGCTCGCCGACGGCATTCTTGACACCGGAAAACGGGCGTTTGACCCTTCCGCCGATGCCGCTTCGAAAGAAGCCGCCCAAAGAGAGTTCCAGGAGCTCATCGATGGGTAGGTAAATTCGGCTTGGCCAAGCGTCTTAGAAGCATCGCATTCTGACAAAGGGTCTAGGAACGGCGCTTGGAACCTTTTGCCGGTGTTGAATGCTCTCATTAAGCCTAACATTGCGCCGTCATGGCTCCGCCCCGAGCTGATGAAGATCTTGACGCTGATCCCGTTGCGACCGGACGGCGTGCGAGGAACCATGGAATTCGTCTTTTCTGTGCATCCCAGCAGTACACTCAAAGCCTCAGAGGCTGCGGCTCCTCAGAAACGGGGCGCCAACATCACGCAAGAAGCCATGGCCGTTGTGACTCGCATCATTACATCGCCCCCCACTATTGTGTCTCCAGAAGATTGGTTCTCGGCAGTTGCACCTCAGCTCATCGTTTTGTTGGACGGCAAAGAAGGTCCGGAACTGACAACAGCTGCGGCTCAGATTATTATGTTTGGCGTGTTAGGAAGGAAACAATTTGGAGCACCCGGTGAGTCCTGTGGGTTGGCGTTTCATGCATGCACTGACGTTTGCAGGGTCTCCTGGTTGGAACGCCTTTGTCGAGCCGCTGTTGCGCAATCTGAATCCATCTCGAAAAGGTAGCACTGTGATTAAGAAAGACGACTCTGACATTGTCGACCTCAAGATCAAGCAAGAGGACAAGGACGTAGTCGATTTGAGTGGAAGGGCGGCTCTCGTCACTGCGGACGACTTGTTTGTCACTTTCAAGCGCCTATCGTGCCTAATCAACTCAACGCCATATCCCGCACAAACAAGACGGATGCTTGATCCTGTTCTGCTCCAACTATGGGCGGTCTCCTGCTGGGGCGACACCAGCCCGAAAACGGAAGAACGGTATTCGAAGCCAGCACGTTCGCTGCTTCACACCTTTTTGAAACTGGGTGCTTCTATCACCAAGCTTCATCTTATCATTGAAAACCTCGTTTACCGTGGAGAAACGGCCGAAGGCAGCATCAAATGGCAATATCAGGCCACATCCGATGGAGACCTGCAAATCATTGCGACTCCACTCGGTCAAGGCTCGCAACTTCCAGAACTCAACTGGGGAGAGATCCAAAAGCGATCGTCTGCTCTCGTCAGACTCATGACGGCGAGCTGCACTCCAGAAGAGATATCCTTATTCTTCTTGGAGTTGTTGAGCCGGTGGTTCCAGTCGACCACGGTTGCAAAGAAGGCAGAGGTCTTGTTCAAGTCCGAGGAGGGAGAGAGTAGTGAAGAGATCAAGAAGCTTCTGGAGATCACAGTATTGCAGAAGATGCTGGAACAAGCCCCAGACAAGCTCATCAGCCGCGTGACGCAAGTGCTCGAGCTTGTGTGCCAGATCCTGGATCCGGCCAGCCTTCAAGATCATCCCGACGACATAATCGCTGTTGCTCTGAGTTTGCTGAATCTAGTCATCACCGCACCAGGCTTTAAGAAGTCGATTCTCAAACCTGAAGCTTCCGAGACGCTGGAAAAGGCTCTCGATCAACTGGGCAACGCAGGACGACCGGATGTTTCCCCTACCGCAAAGAACCTAGCTCTCCTACTTCAGTATCGCGACGCCATCGATCCAGATGAGGAAGACGCGTTCGTGCCCAACGACAAGCAGATTGAAGAGAGGAAAACGTACAAGCTTGCTTTAGAGTACATAACCCAGGCAGATAACCCGCCTCCAGTACGTTCCGAAGGCCTCAACCTCCTCTCAGGTTTAGTGGCTTCGAACAGCTCGATTCTCGACATTCAGTCAACACTCGTACTTCTCTCGTCACTGCTGCAAGATAGCGAGGACTTCATAAACCTACGAGTCATCAAGCTCTTTACGCAATTGGCAAACAAACACCCGAAGGTAGCCACACAGGAGATCCTAGAGCACTACCTGGACGCCAAGGAGACGTCAACAACCGATATTCGTTTACGCTTTGGAGAGGCGCTACTCCAAGTGATTGAGCGCCTCGGTGAAACGTTCACTGGAGATGTTGCAAAGAGGGTCTCTCAGACGCTTCTGTCAATCGCTGGAAGAAGGGGCCATCGACCGAAAACGGAAGCGAAACAAGCTCGCGAGAAGCGCCTGCAAGACATGAAGAAGAAACAGGCCGAGGACGCCTGGGGAGGCGACGTGCCAGATCTTGGAGACGAGATGAATGAAGATGAACAGGCAAAGAACGAGATCTTGACTCAGATCGTCGAGGGCTGGGAAAGCAAAAGAGGCAGCGAAGATGTCCGTATGCGGACTTCCGCTCTATCAATCTTTTCCTCTGCAATCGAAGTAAACATCACTGGTGTTGGGTCCGATTTGGTGTCTATCGCAGTTGATCTCTGCATCAGTGTTCTCACCCTTGAACGGGAAATGGAGAAGGGAATCCTTCGAAGAGCAGCTATCCTCCTGATCCTAGGATTCGTCAGAGCCCTGGACGATGCAAAGCAAACAGGCAGGAGACTTGGTTTCGGCTTGACGGATCAAAGCCGGGAGGATATTATGAGGACGCTAAAGTACATTGCCGTCACAGACAACGACGGACTGGTTCAGCAACACGCTCGCGATGTAATTGAGAGCATGGATAACTGGCAACTTTCCACACTCCTTCCGGCAGAGAGCTCCGTTGCGGAACCAGGCATCGGTCGCCTGGCAGGCCTGGCAATTGACCAGGACCGGTCGCTCCCTTCTGTCAACACAAAACGGCCCAGGATAGAAGAGATTGAGTGAACATGGAATTTTCACTGAGTCGAAATCTTTTCCTTTGAGACCGTGAAAAATCATCGGCAGGGCGGGAACAATACGTGTGATCGATGTTCCGATCTGGTTCAGATGAGGTACGGCCCGGACCGGCCCGCCACAAAGTGATCAGGGGGGGATGGGCGAACACCGCTTAAGTGCATAAAGCGCCACGTGATCGCGCGAGGCGCGCATTCCAATGTCGCGTTTCCGAATAGAAAACAATTAAGCAAGTACCTCGGCGTACAGCCATTGTACCCCTCGCAATTCGCCTCACACTAGACACGCGCCTCGACCTCCTCCACCGCGGACTCCCTTTGCCACTGCGCGACAATGGCTCCTGCCCGGGTCATCGCAGACTCGGACGACTCAGACGATGACTTCGACCTGGAAGACGGTCCAGCGAAGCCTCCAACACCCAAGAAATCCAGCGAAGGACGTTCCTCCGATTCGGTAAGCGCTGCGACAGGCTCAACCGACCCTCAAGTCTTCCAAGAGATATACAACGACCAGCGAGCTACAGCTACGGACGACATCTTGTCGCATCACGATCACTTCTCGGTACCCCACGGCGCGGTCTGTAGCTCCGCATCTGATGGCATAAAGGCTGCGACGAAGAAGGACGACACCAACACCTCGTCATTGACTTCAATCACCGACCCGACTATGGGATCGAACCGGACAAAGAAAGCAAAGAGACCGGAGATCGTGGACCTTACGCAGGTCACGACCCCTGGGAGGAGTGCCAATGACACGCCGAAGGACATGTGGGACGTGCCTAGCAGCCCGGCCGAACAGCCAACAGCACCGATTGCTACCTTGGCCAAAAACAAAACGCCTACAAGCAACAAGAGGAAGCGAGTGAACAATGTCGAGTTTACCTCTCCATTAGCTATCGAGATGCCCTCCCAAGGGTCCACACAGCCGTTTGACGTCACTCCGGTAGGGAGAGCCAACTTTTCTCTACCTCAGGCAGCCAAGAAACAGAGAATCGATGCACCGGTGTCATCGGCGGCGACTGACGATATTGACATGGTGGTCCCCCTCGACGATGGTTCTGTACTGGTCAATAGCCCGATCTCGGGACAAAAGCAGGTCTCTCTGTATATCGAACCCCGAGCTCTGACGGCTAGCCAACAGCTGCAATACGAGTATCATTCAGTCGATCCGTCGCCGGATGACCAGAGACCACCGCCTTCCCGCCATTTCACAACCTTGCAAGCTGCAGCACGCTCTAGTGGAGCTACTACTATTGCATACTCTACGCCCAGTCAAACACGAGTCCGGGGAATGCTCCAAGAGTCATTCGTAGATGATACGAACTCTCGAACGGCGTTTGAAGCCGTGCAGGAAATACGAGAAGTCATTGACCCCGAAGCGACAATCGAGATCCAATCATCACCGGACATCATATCTGCAGCGCCTGTACGCAAGAAGCGCAGTCAGCACCGTGATGAATCTCCGCAGGCTGCAGCGTTGCATGTTGCAGACGATTGGAACTCGGACGATACTGGGTTTCCTCGTGAGATGTACAAACCTCGACCAAGCCGACGAAGGGGTAGCGACGCTAGTCGGCAGAGCGATAACGGGAATGCCACATTCACAACAGTCCCCGAGGCTGACATGGGACCAGCTGCACAACTTATCGAAGAGGTTGCTCCACCAGCCAGCCCTCCCAAACCCAAGAAGAGAGGGCGCCCTAGGAAATCCGATGCAGCAGCAGCCCCTGAGCCTGCCGAGACCCAAGCACCGTCACCCGGAGTCGCACCCGCAGTTCTGAGCGAGGTCGCCGAGAGCCCAGTTGCAGCGGAACCAACGTCAGCGGCTACACAGCAAACCAAGAAGAAAAGAGGCCGGCCAAGGAAGTCAGACAAGGTTGTCGCGGCGCACGTGCAGCAGGAACCCGTGGATCAGCCCGCAGCCGTTGAACCCGCTGACGAGGCCAAGAATATTTCTGTTCCAGTGGATTTGGAGCCTGCGGGTGATAACCAATTGGAGAAGACCAGCAGGTCAACCAAGCCCAAGAAGAGTGATAAGAAGCGATCTACAGAGGAGGTGACCGGAAAAGGGCCAGCGAGTGAGACTACAAGTGAGGCGGGCGAAGCGCGGGCTCTGCAGCCTACAACGGCCAACTCGGGGCTGAAGCCCGGTTCCGATGGTTCGGGTCCGCAAAGCGCGGCAACAGAGGGGGAGGCGGCAGTTGTCACTCCGCAGAAGAACGAGGTCAAAAAAGAGGTGGCGGGCAAAGTCGATGGCAAGCAGGGGTTCCCAACGCCAGCATCGCAGGCTGGGAAGCCTCTCTATCGGGTGGGGCTCAGCAAGAAGTCGAAGATTGCACCACTACTTAAAATTGTGCGCAAGTGAAACAATTCGATGGGAATTGGCGCGGGGCTGACGGCGGAGGGGTCGATGTTGACCATATTTCTTTTTCGAGATACCCGGGGCATTGTGGGAAGCAGGCGTTTAAGGCACGGCACAGTGAGAGTGGGCTGGACAGACAGCATGAGGCATACGATTGATGAGGCTCGGCGGTATTAATGATGCCGATAGGATGCTATAGCAAGCCTATTATGGATATTCGATATGCGATGGAAACTTGCAACAGTTTCAGTCACTCCTCCTGGTTGAATCGAGACATCAATGCTCATCACGGTTACCCAAACCCAAGAACAGGCCAAACTGCCAGTGACGACTCACTTGACAGGTCCTTCGATTAGCCAGCCACAGCTACCAGCCTCGCCGTCAGCGGCACAAACAGAGTGTCAGCACCCGAGCTGTCAGAGCTCAATTGACTCGATCTGATGGAGGGGGATGGAGGGGTAATCGGTTGGAGGGGCAATAAGAGGCGCATATTGCATGTTGCATGCTGCTGGCTGCAGCTCAGGAGGTGGACACGACACAAGGAACTTCAGGCGCACGGGTGCATCAGCTCCTGTGCGACGCTGGAAAGAGCTTGCTGCCCATGATCCGACCAATCACAGAGCCAGAATTGGACATTCCGGCGCCGAAAACCAGGATTCTTGGCATCCCGACATGGCCCAGAGACACTCGTCGGAGTGGAAAGTGGACATTTGGGGGAGGGATGACAACCCCGCGGCCAGTACTTTTTTTTTTATTTTTATTTTCTTCCCTGGTGGTCTTCCTCAGCGCAGCGCAAGTGCCATCCAATGTCCCATGCCATGTCCTGTCCACCCGTCCGACGCTGTTGTCACCCCGCCGCCGCCTGCCTCCCGATTGACGGCTAGTGCGGGGCAAAATTTGCGGTTACTCACTCCTGAGTTACTAAAGTTGCGCAAGACCAGGACTGGGACTGTAGGCACGGGACATTGGTGGGGAGGGGAGGACCTAATTACAGACTGAAAGACGCTGGACAGGACAGTCGCTGTGGACGACGACGGGAGGGGTCCCGGGAGGGAAGAGGAGAGGAGAGGGGCTCTTTTTCTGTTGGCTCGACTCGCATCGAGTCGAGCCACCACCGAATTTCGGCCACTTGACGTGCTTGGTGTGACTCGACTTTTTTTCTTGCCTCTTCCGTCCATCGCTCCATCCCGCCCTTCTCAGCCCGAGATCTTGCATTCGCAGAGACGAGGTCTCGTTACTTTTCCCCTTCCATTTCCCGCTCCCTTTCAATTGGGCTTCGTCCTCTTTTCTGCCCATTCCCTCCTCACCGCATAGAGGCATCATGGCCACCAACGGTACCACCACCAACGGCCAGACCGGCACCGGCGCCGACACCACCCACACCCAGTCGCAGCGCTACCTGAGCACCCGCGGCGAGGACAGCGGTGTATGTTATGTCCCCTTCTCTTGAACCAATTGCTTCTGCAAGCCATTGCGCGCAACTCCTGAAGCCACTGCCTGCACAGCGCTGATCGCATCTCCAGTTCTCCTTCGAGGAGGTCGTTCTCAAGGGTCTCGCCAGCGATGGCGGTCTCTTCATCCCCGAGCACATCCCCCAGGTAGCCAACTGGCAGGACTGGAAGGACCTCTCCTTTCCCGACCTCGCCCACAAGATCCTCTCTCTCTACATCTCCGCCTCCGAGATCCCTTCCGAAGACCTCAAGGGCATCATCGACCGAAGCTATGCCACCTTCCGCCACGCCGACACCACACCGCTCCGCCACCTGAACGACAACCTCTACCTCCTCGAGCTCTTCCACGGCCCGACCTTTGCCTTCAAGGACGTTGCGCTGCAGTTCCTCGGCAACCTGTTTGAATACTTCCTCGTGCGCAAGAACGAGGGCAAGACTGGAAAGGGTATGCTCGCTGGAGCCCGCGCTGGGTAAACTGCGCCTGTTGGACAAGCCAGACTAACACGTTGCGCAGATAGACATCACTTGACTGTTGTTGGCGCTACGAGTGGTGACACAGGATCCGCCGCCATCTACGGCCTGCGCGGCAAGAAGGATGTCTCTGTCTTCATCCTGCACCCCAAGGGTCGCGTGAGCCCCATCCAGGAGGCCCAGATGACGACTGTCCTGGACGAGAACGTCCACAACCTTGCCGTCACCGGTACCTTCGACGACTGTCAAGTAAGTAGCCCGTCACCCGATTGTGCGCCTTCACCAACACAAATCGTTGCAGGACATCGTCAAGGCCCTGTTCGCCGATTCCGACATCAACTCGACGCACAACCTCGGTGCCGTCAACTCCATCAACTGGGCCCGTATCCTCGCCCAGATCGTCTACTACTTCCACTCCTACTTCTCCCTCGCCAAGACCTCCGAATCCTTCAAGCTTGGTGACAAGGTCCGCTTCGTCGTGCCCACGGGCAACTTCGGCGACATCCTCGCCGGCTACTTCGCCTTCCGCATGGGCTTGCCCGTCGACAAGCTCGTCATTGCGACCAACGAGAACGATATCCTCCACAGGTTCTGGACGACCGGCAAGTACGAGAAGCAGCCCGCGCCTCCCGCCGAGGCCACCGGCGGCCTGGCCACCGATGGTGCCAAGGCGCATGAGGACGGCGTCAAGGAGACCCTCAGCCCTGC